TTGGAAATCTCGGCTTTAGCTTCAGAAAGGTGAGCTGAAGGGAGATGGTGAGCGATGGGAGTTGTAGGGGAGAACAGGGTCAGAAGCTCCATCTGGCGTCCGCCCCTGCAGCTGGGCGTCCCTGCAGCTGTGGGGGCAGATTTTATTTTTAATTGGCGGAAGCCGAAAGGGAATAAAAGCCCATGCAGGTTTCTCGTCAGCTAAAGTGTGAGCCGGGAACAGAAAAGGGTTTCCAGTTCTATTTAAGCATCTCCCCGTTGCAGACAGGGAAGAGGAGCAGCGGGGTTGTGGCGTGTAGCTGCTCCCCGCTTCGTCAAGTTTAATCACTTAAATGATTCGCGTTTACTTCCTAATTTGTGCAGCGTTCCTGCTGCAAGAACAGCAGCTGTGCACCAAATGCGCTTTGCATACCATCCTTGTCGGGCTTTTGTGAGCAACTTGTTGGTGTTTTAGGGGAGACCAGTCCTAAAGTGTATGTAGAAGTACTCAGCATCCATTTCTTGTAGTCCAATGAAGGGAACCTAAGCAGATGTTTGTTTGTTTGTTTGTTTTTTTTAAGAAGAACGGTGAGAATGAGTGCTGGTTTCATGTGGTGTGCAGGTGGCTCTGTGCATGTCAAGGGACTCATGTCTGGCTTTTTATTTTCAGGAGGATCTTGAAGCCCTGATAGCAGAATTCCAGAGTTTAGATGCTAAAAAGACCCAAGTGATTGAGTCATCCTGCCCACCCCCCTCACCCAGGTAAGAGATTGTGTGAGGCTTTGGCTGTCACTTATATAGCGGTTGGAGGTGCTTTTAAGGAAATTTATCTATGTAAAGTTATGTCCCAAGAGTGAGAGGCATAATATCTGGCATAGCTGATACCTGGAGTTACAAAATATCTGGTATATTGAATCCCTGGTTAAAAAAGGGACCAAAAGCTCTTTTTGTCCTTAAAATCTGCTTTTGAATCATCCCATCAGCACAAAGGAGGCAAAGCAGGGTTCGATTACACAGCTTTGAGGAAAAATAAAAGTTAAGAGGAAGTTTTGGATTTGGACTAGAAAGCTGAAAAGACTTAAGAAGCAAAAGGATGTGTCATGAGATACAAGACACTACCAAGTGTAGCTTGGGGTCTACGTACTTACAGAACCTACTACATAGGTATTTGTGTTTCCTGTGGCTCGTTAAATAAATGTCTTTCTCTGTGATATCTGTTTCCCTCTCTATGCAGTGGGACAGGTCAGTACACCGTTAATCTCACAGTGGTGTTACAGTGGTCAGTTAGTTCCTCCTTGGGAGTGGGAAGGATCTGTCTCCACATGGGGTAGAGCGCTTTTGCGGTATATAAATGAGGAATGACCAGCAGAGTAATGATGCAGAGAAGTTGATATGAGACAGCCCAGTTCTACCCATAGTTATGTGCTCTCATAAAACTAATTTTTGTTCTTGGCACACCAGCATTAAAATTCAAGAGCTCGCGTCAAAAGGCATGGTAAATGACAGTGTAACGTGTGCTCCTAAAATAGGAGAAGATTTCAGACGGCGTCAAATTAATCAGGCTGGAAGTTTTTAAGAAATTAATTTCTTTGAGAAGTTTTTAGCCCTGGGGTGAATATCACAGCCTAGTAATTTGGCAGATGATGGAGAGACCTTTGTGGCTAGAGGGCAGAGGCGCCAGTGCTAGCTGAGTCAAAGGCTGAAAGCTTCTGAGTTTTACAAGACTTACACATCTACTGTTTTGGCCATCCCTCTTTCTTTTGCAGGCTGAACGGCTCCCTCTCTGCTCACCCTGAGAAAGACGAATTGATCCTTTTTGGAGGTGAATATTTCAATAGCCAAAAAGTAATGTATACTTCCATTTTTTTTCTTCTTTATTCTATCCTCTCCCTGCCTTTTACTGTAATTTCCATGAGTCTCATTTGAAGTGAAATTCAAGGCAGCAGTCATAAAATATGTATTTGTCCCTGAATGAGAGCAAAATAGCCTTTTAATTCTGCCTTGATACTGTCTCATGCCTGAACTGTTGGCAGGAAGGAGACATGCTAGAACCCATTAAGGAGTCAGAGTGATTGTCTCAGCATCAATATTTCAGGGCTTCATAATTTCTCCAGACTTAATTGTAGCCATATCTACCCCTCATTTTTGATAACTATTGAAGAATCTCTGTCTTCCACTTTTCAAAACAGGATACTTCTGCAGTTTTGCTGCTGGCAAGGCATTGCCTGCCTTGGAGGTTTGTACAGTAGCAGGTATTTGCAAGTAGGCACTCTCATTACTGAATTTCTTCAGGCTGCAAGTGCTTATTGTGCTCCTGGAGACAAACTGGTCTTTATGACCCTAAGAAGCTGTACATACTGTAACTTAAAAACTCAAGCCTGCCAATGATATTTGGCCACCTTAAGATCGCCCAGTATGATGTGCTAAACTAATTCTGCTTTCTTCAGTACCTTAAGCTGTTCCCAGCCTGCCAATGATATTTGGCCACCTTAAGATCACCCAGTATGATGTGCTAAACTACTTCTGCTTGCTTCAGTACCTTAAGCTGTTCCCGTCTCTGGAGTTGAGCAGCAGTTTGGGCAACTTTAACTTGCACATCTGTGTTAAACTCCAACTTATAAGGTCCTCATATCTCAAGCTATCACAGGCTTAACCAAGGGTATGAGAAAGAACAGTCCAGTCTAGTAGATCACTCTGAAAAAGTTCCTGACTCCCAATCTAGTGGAGGAGGTTGTTTTCCTCCTTCCCTGCCTGATGAGGCAGGTGAGCTGTTGCTTTTCAAAGCTGGTGCTGTGCTCCTTCTCCCCCAGACTCACAGATAACCCTCAGGGGTGCCTGTGCTTGGACAGGCTCACCCTGTCCAATGGAGAGCTGTGGTGATGTGTATTTTCTCTTATTCTCTAACAGACGTACCTGTATAACGAACTGTATGTTTACAACATCCGGAAGAACAGCTGGTCTAAGGTAGAGATCCCCAACCCACCACCAAGGCGATGTGCTCACCAGGTAAAGTACTGGGTGCCAGAGCGGCTAACGCTGCACTCAAGATGGATGGGAGTTGATTTGTTTTTTGTTTTTTTTTCATCCTGAGGGTTTCTGGCTTCTCTTTGTTCCCCTTGTAATGGGCTGCCAATAGTGTCGCTTCACCTCTTCTCCTGAGGTGCCTGTCCAAGGCGCTTGTGCTCTCTGAGTGGCCTCTGGAAACGTTAAGTGTGGAAGGAAGATTGGAGCTTTTATCTGTTGGGTCAGCAGGACTCAAGTAGAACTGATGGAGGAGACTCTTCTTTTGAACATGAGCTCTCTTTGCTGCGTTACGTAGGGACCAGCTCAACCATCCGTAATCCCAGGATGGCACTGAATTTTCAAAATGCTGGGCAAGATATAACTTCAGATTTGACCAAAGTGCTATGAATGGCAGAGTTGCTGTGCGTGATTATTTTCTTGATGCCCACAGGCCTCCATCTATGGACATTACAGAAATGGCTGCTCCAGCAGAGTGAAAGACCCATTACTGCAGGATACCCCTGCTAGCATGTAGAGCTTGGGCTTTGCCAAGTGTCCCAGCTGTACAACATGGTGAAGCGCTAGCGCCAACTCTGTGTGTCCTCCTGTTGGATTGTGATTTTCTTTTTTCCTTGGCAGATGGGCTGTTTTTCTTTGGTCTGCAAAAGCAAGAGACAAAGTTGTCTAAATTTTCTCTGGGATATCATGACGCTCCCCTAGAATTCACCTCTCTGGTGCCTGTGTCATTAAGATCACTGGCTGATTGTGATGATGAAGGATTTGGGTTTGTTTACTTTATGTGAACGCCGGCACATTAGAAACTGGACCAAAGACTTGTGTTTTTAGCAGGTCTTTGGCCCTCGCCAGCTGTCTGATAGATGAGCTTACCTGTCTCAGCAAGTGGCTGGGTGACTGGTACCTTTCAGAAGCTGCCAGAGAGGATGAGGATGTTATTTTCCTACCCATGGCTAAAGTTCTTTAGAGCTTCTTGGTAAGATCCAATACCCTGGTTAGGTTGCTAGACCCTTGTTGTGCTATGCCTAAATGCTAGTCATGCTCTGAGCTGTGTGTCTCTTCTTGAACTGAAAGGTTCTGACTTCATTTTTGGGCTACCTTGTGGTGCTTAAAATAGAACTGGATTTCAGAGGCCAGATTCCACAAGGAGACCATAAATTCAAACGGTCGTTTCCCCAGATGAAGAGGAGGTATCTTGGTGGGTGTGGAGTTGAGAGGTGCTCGTTCCAGTGTGGGTTGCCAGCAGGTGGCTGTCTAGCAGCTGCATCTGAGCGGAGCAGGCAGGCAGGGCGTCAGGGAGCTGCAACTGAATTACGACAAATAAAATGAGACCTATCTGAAGAGTCCTGCTTCAACAATAAATTTTCTGCCCGATAATTAATTCTAGTTGCACAGGAGGCAGCTCAGCCTCATTAGCTGACTGGTTCGTTGTCTTCCTTGTGACTTTATTTTTAATGCGTGTTCTGCGTTAGCTCCAAGGTGGACAGAAGTGTGTCTGTGGGTCTGTATGTGCATGTTTGCAGTCTTACTTGTCATCTCTGGTCTCTGACCAGCGATCTGCTGCTTGAGTGACACTGGCTTTGATACATCAGCTCAACAGAGCTGAGGTGGGAATAGCTACGGATGGGTGTTGTCAGTTGTTTAAGGAAAAGGCTTGGCTATGTAATGAATTTTGAGCCAGCTCCTCAAAAGGTCACACACAAGTATGAGCAGGCTGTTGTATAGACCTTCTCCTTAGGCGTTTAAACACTAAATACTCATGAAAATTGGGCATGTATCCCCTTTATTTAGGTAATTTCATGTTCTCACAGATCCTGCTTGCAAACACACCCCATATTTTCTCGTGAGTTTAATCGTTGCATGTATAGGCTGGTTTATGTCGGGGCATGGTCATGTATCCAGTACTAAAAATCTTCATTGCTGTTTGCTGGGAGAGAAAGGTAGGTAATGAAGCCCTTCTGAAGAAAGAGCTCATTATCCCAGTGTTGGTCTGTGATGGATACTCTGGAAAAAAAAAAACTGGAATGATTTGTTTATAGTGTAAACAACCCAAGAGGTCCCCATCAAGGAACAAATTTGCAGTCACATAGCTTAGTTTTTGAGATTCCTTCTTTTTTCCTTAGTCCTTACACAGATAATTTTGATGAAGTGGAGTCTTGCTCTTCTCTCCCTGCTTTTAACCGTCAGCTTTTAGCTGTCAGCATCGCGACAGTGTTTTGGTGCCGTGCAAAAAAAAATTTAAAAAACCTTTTGATACTCTCCTATCTGCTACTTGCCTTAATCAGAGCACTAACAGTCTCCTTTTGTCCAAATGCTGCACTTTCCTTCTATGTTTGGGAGGGTTTTTTTTGGTGTGTTTTTTTTTTGTATATTTTGTTTTGTTTTGTTTTTCTTCAGAGGGAACAGTAATGCTCTTCAGGTCTTGGGAAGCATCAGGTTTGGACTTGTGCTGCGGCTTGGCTTCTTTACTGTTTGTTGGTTTGTAATCTACAAAAACTGCAAAAGGCAATTGTGCACTGTTAATGGCCTTTTCCAAAAGTCTTTTCCCTGCCTTTCTCTGCCTGCCCAGTGCTGGGATGTTAGATGTGTCTTGAAGGCAGGAAGTGCCTCAGTTCTGCACATGGCTCAGAGTTCATCAGCCCCGGTGTAACTTCTGCAGGATGCTATTTATGTGACTAAAGGATGGGTGAAACGCTGCCGAGCCTTAGCTGGGGAGAGGTTTCCTTTTGGAGAACAGAGGGATTTAAACAAAATCCCAGGATGCTTCCCAGGCAGCTTGGAATTGGCAGAACTGGAAGCCAGGACGCTAGGAGGTGGGAAGAGCCCAGCTCCTTGGCTGACTTTCCTTCTCTGTAGGGAAGGTGTGCTAAACAATGAGTAACTTGCATTTTAAATTCCTCTTCCTTCAGCCCCAGAGAGCTGCTGTTGCCAAGCAAGGCAGCAGCAGCCACGGCCAGTTGTCTGCTCTCTGGTATGTGAAGGCAGCTGCACATTTGACCAATAAAGTTCTTCTGTCCCTGGTCTCTGAACCCTTGTCTGATCCAGCTCTTTCTTCTTCTTCTCCTGGCAGGCAGCAGTGGTGCCCACAGCCGGCGGGCAGCTGTGGGTATTTGGTGGGGAGTTTGCATCTCCCAGTGGGGAACAGTTCTATCATTACAAGGATCTCTGGGTCCTGCATTTGGCAACCAAGACCTGGGAGCAGATCAAGTAAGTGATGTGTTTGGAAGTCAATGACGTTGGCCTCATGAGGAACTGTGTCGGCATGATCTGGGTTTGATTCCTGGTATAATGCTGTGATTTCCCCAGTGTCCACTCATCTCTCCCCTGAGTACAGAGGTATCCGTCTTAGAAATGGTGGAGAGGACAGCTTCCAGAAAGATGGGGAAATGAGGGATGTGTTCCAGGTCTATTGAGGCCAAAGCTACTTTATTTAATATGTGATTTTTGGAGCATGGGTTTACTTAGGTGTTTCTTAACTGAAGGAAAGAGTATCATGAACAGCACTCTGTCCTCCTAGCCATGGTGGGTGTAAATGTCCAACTTCAAAACAGTATTTGTTGCTCTGTCTGCCTGGGCTCCTCCTGGCTGGGCTGTACAAGACCAGTACAAGGATCTCACCTGATTTTACCATTGCTTGAGAAGACAGCTTGTATCTATCCACAGAGCCAACTTCACTCCTGATAACTGGCATTTGCAACCTCAAGTTTCCTTGGGATAAACAAGCCAATAATTCAAACCTGTCAAAGTAAATAGATGCCAAAATTCCTTTTAGTTTGGACAGGAGTTAAGGTGCCTAAATATCATCTGTGGATCTGGCCTAGAGTCCTCTGCTAATGTTTCCTTGACCTTTGGCTGCTTGGTTTTGCTGCTCATGTGTATATTTGCGTGAGAGAAGAAGAGATCTGGTGAGTGGAGTCATGGAGTGGACTGAGAGGCAGGAGATGTGGCTTTGGTTCTGACTTTCTCTTGAACTTTGGGATTGTCTTGACTGTGTGATTAGCCAGAGCACAGCTTTGAGTGGACTGGAACTCCTGTTATGCTGACCCTTAAGGTGGCACTGGGGAAAGGAGCAGCTTTTGATGCTCATCTGCTGTTTGACTCCTCATTATGAACACTGTGTCCTTCCTCTTGTGGGAAGCCCTAAATCTGCCTGGGTCAGCCCTAAATCTGCCTGGGTCGGTCACTTTTTGCCTTGCTCACAGGGCACGGGTGCCTGTTGTCTGTGTCTGTCTCTTCTTACAGGGTAATTAAGAGGGTGGTTTAGGACTGAGCTGTGCCGAGATGGATACCCTGGCTCTGCCTTGGCACATGCCTGAGGCCACACAGTGAGTCATCGTGCCTCTCTGCCTTTTTCCCCCTCCCTGCAAACTGGGAGCATTGATATTCCCTGACAAAGGGGAAATCTGGAGGTTTAATTTTACTGATGTCAACGTATCACTGAAGGGACTCTGGCTGCAGGGGGACGTACAGATCCAGAGTGCAAAAATCCCAAGGAATCCAAAAAGTCTGGATTAAAAGGATGCTTCACAGCACAGGATCCCAGCAGCAGACTGCTCGGCGAGGATCCAGGCATCGTCCTTTCGAGTTGTTCTGGGAGGCTGAGAGAAAACGGTTTGATCCGTGAGCGGCTGGTTCCCGTCCACCAGTGTGGCTCCTGGCTCCAGACCTGGCAGCGTGGATCTAATAACAGCTGTAATTTGCCATGGTGCACGATGCCAGGTTTGCCCTCGTGAGCCCTGCTTGTCTTTGAGAAGTGGGGGTGAGAGAAACCCTCCGAAATGATGGAAGGCTCTTTAAGAGGTGCAAGGATTAAAAAGACCTGTCACCGTGCAGGCTGATCTGCCTGTTGTTAGGCAGAAGCTGATGCAATGAGTGTGACTGTGCCCCTCCCAGCTCCCCCAAAATACCTTCTGGATCCCTTGCTCAGTCTCAGCCAAATAAAGGGGATGAACTCAAGTGAGTTACATGCCTACCAGTTTCATGCCAGCAGGTGGGGGGGAGGACATGATGCTCACCACAGGGTCCCTGCTGAGAGAAAGGGTTGGCATTTCAGCCAAACCCTTGGTTGAAAAAATCCTCACCGGAGAGCAGTGTTGATATCCAGCTGCAGGGAGAGCGAAGGCAGGAGATGTTTTTTTGTGAGCCATCAGAGAATCCAGATGAGGCTTCATTAGCTCCACCACTGATGGCGCAAATTGTTCTCTCGTGGGTTTGCAGATGCGTTGCTGTAGAGCTGATTTAGGGTTTTCTACTCCCAAAACAAATGCTGCAGTACCTGACCTGCCTGGGAAGAGGAAATGAGGTGGTTATGAGGCTCTACTCATCCTGCATCTTACTCCATGTGGGAGAGCAACCTCAGGGATGCTGACTGTCACTTACACTGCAAAAGCACCTGTTCCCTCCATGGAGCTGAGTGTGAAATTTGTGTGTGCAGCAAGTTATAGGATACCCCCAGCAGTCCCGGGCCCCAGGCAGGCTAACACTGTGGCAAGAGATCTTGTCGTGGTGGGTTGTTACAGTTAGTGAGGAGGGAGCCAGATGGCAAGGTGAGTTCCCAGTCCCACCTCGGGAGCAAGTTCTAGGTACCGTGCTCTTCATGTCGCCCAGAGCTACCCTTCATCCCCAGGTGCTGGGTGTCACCTTGGCTGCCATGCCACGGTAGAAGATGCATTTGGAGACACTGATACTTCATTGTTTCTTAGGAGATAAAAGGACAGATATTTTGTAAGTAAGCATCATAAATTATATGGGTGAAAACACGCTGGAGAAATGATCTTTTCTCTCACTCTCCTCCATGAAGGACCTACTCCATTTGAGTTTCCCGATGTGTTTGGGTGGACATCTGTCTTTTGGCCTTGCTGGAATTTTGAAAATGCCTGTGCCCTGGTCCCTGTGTTTGCATAAAACAAAGTGCATCTCCTCCCCATCCTTGGGCAGAGCTCCAAGAGCTGCGTTAATGAAGCATCTGGCAGAGGAGGCTGGGAGGGGTTTTTTTGGTTTAATGCTAACCTGACTGAGTGTGAAAATCAAGTTTCTGCTGCCTCTTTGCTTTTCCATATGGCATCTTGATTACAGTCTGCTTGGAAAGGGGAAGAGGAAAGGGCAGAGATGATTGTTGATTTGTACGAGGGATTTTTTTCCTACTTCTTTTAAAACTATGACCGTAACACGTGCTGCGTTTCACTTCCTTCAGCATTTTACTTTTCTTGCCAGGGAACCCCATTACTGCTGTCGTTTTTCCACATGAGTTTGCCATGTCTGTCTGAAGTCAAGCACTTGCTTGTTTTGGATTGCCATTAACCAGTTGGGATGACTGGTGACAGTGGGGGTCAGCTTTGGGGCTACTGGCATTGGGAGAGTGAACATGTTTGGGAAGACGAAATGGAGGGGGCAGGTTGTCTGGGTTTGTTGGGTTATGGTGAGGCCCCAGCCCTGATAAAGCAAGCCTTCACGTGGCAGGCCAAGCAATAATTCCTTGTTTCTTATGTGGTAGCAGTGTTATCTGACTAAATGCCTGGTGATAGACATTTGGAGTACAGGCTGGTATTGAGTAAACTCGGTTGGGTTTGGAAGACATCATTTTGGTGCAAATTATAGTAAAGTAACATAATTATTCATTAAGAAATGTCTGGACAAGAGAGATAAAGTTTCTGTTTCTGTTCCTCATAGGAAGAGTCACACGTGCCTCCTTTCAAGTGAGTTTCAATGTACTGGGTTGTGTGGATTGAATAGCTAAGATGACCCTGCTGTGATCTGAACTTGGCAGTTCTAGGAAAGCTAGATGTACATGTCATCATGCCACAGACCATCTTGGTGCTGTAAGAGGCTGGACTGCAAAACACCTTTGAAGAGAAAACCTTGAATAACTCATCCCTGTGAATAGCATCCCTGTGCTGTGTCTGCAAATGCTGCTGGGGAAGTGGATCTCCATTATCTCCTAGCACAGAGCACAGCGGTGCCAGGCCGCTTGACAGAGTTAAAAATTGTTATATTTAGCAACATTTAGCTATATTTACTTGCATTTTGCATGCACAAAGGTGGTGTAAACACGACAGATTTCAGCCTGTTAGAAGACTTGCCAGCAACTGTCTTTGACTTATTGGAACCACCTTATCACATGTGAGATGCATGAGTTTGCCTCTACATGAACTGTTTGTTACTCTGTCTTAGAGCTAAGCGATATTTTAACCTATTTGCCTCATTTCTTCCTAGAGAGAACATTCCTGTTCAGCTCTGTGTGGCCCAGTGTGCTCCCTGGAAGACAAGACAGGGAGCATCACGCTTTGGGGTTGTGCTTGGGAACTGGCGGATCTCTCCTCTCTGTAGTTCTTTGTCTTGCTTTGGGGCCTGTAAGCTCCCTTCCCTTTTATACTGGATCGATGATGATACTTCCCCTAACAAGTTTGAGAGATGTGGTGCTATAAACGTTTCACAAGCATATGTTTAATGCTGTTTACAGAAAGAACTGGAGCAGTCACTGCAGTGCAGGATGCCTTTCAGCTTAGGTTTGTTTCTGATAGATGACTCTTTGTGCTCGCATGTCACCAGAAAGATCAGGTCGTGCAACGCAAAGTAGAAAGATGCATTAGTGCTTAAAGAAAAGAAAGGTGTTTTGGGGTACCATTGAGTAGACTGTCAGCCCAGAAATAAACCTTGTGAGCTTGTTCTTTGGTAGATCACGCTCCAGATGTACAGCTGTTGCTTGACTTTGCAAGGGATTCGATTTGAGGATTTTGTTCACTTGTATACTTCCACAGTACAAGTACACACCGTTTGTGTGTGCCAGTTGCAAGGGATTCGATTTGAGGATTTTGTTCATTTGTATACTTCCAGAGTATACAAACACATGGGCACACCGTTTGTGTGTGCCAATGGACAGAGTGTGTGCTCTGCACTCACACGTGTAAGGCGTAAAACTGAACGCTGAAGTCCTGGGCTTCAGCTGCCTTAAGTACTGGAGGATAAAAATGCTTTGTCCTGAAATGCCCCTTTGACGGGATGTTCTATGACTTTCATTATTATGCAAAGGTTCCGAGGTTCATCTGAGCATCCCCTGGATGAAGGAATGAATGAAAAGGTAACTCACTTAGGCAGTCTGTAGCTACTGTGACATGTAAGTCTGTAATTCTTGAATCTGGGGGCTGAACTCAGGTCTGTTCCGTTACTATAAGTCCCAGAGTAACTCCACAAGCAAATTCCTTATGGAGCAGTTCTGATCAGACTCATGCTGTACATGTGTAGAGCCAGTCCTTACCCAGACTTATCTTAATCTATTTTTAAAAAAGTCTGGAGAATTTACAGCTCCCTCCCACATGTCTGCTTTCTGGTGTCAACCCCGTGAAGTAGAGTATTAATCATAAAGTCTATGAAACCATTTCGAAAAGGCTTTGTTTTGGACCACGAGCAGTGATACAGGTAAAAGGAGACCGTTTGCATTTGGGAAACAAGAGTTTGAGCTTGCAGCAAGTGCCTCCTGGAGTGGCAGGGGGATGGTTCCAGCCAGTCCTGCTCAACTTCCATTTGGTTTTTCCATTGGCATTTGGAGACTGGGGACGAGGGACCTTGGCTATGAATAGCTCTATGTAAAAATACTTTCTAAGAGCAGTCGTTGCAAGTTTAGGAGGGCATGTCTTTACATGAAAGGCTCCCAGACTGGATATTTTTGTTTGTGACTTTGAGTTAATTGTAGACTTGTAGGAACCTGTTTATTAAAACACATCCATGAATAAACTTTTTGTTGTTCAGAATTGATTTTTGACTTGGAGGAAACCTGTTGGAGAAGCAAGGCAGAAGATACTATCTGAAAACAGGATTTTATTGTTAATGTTGATTTTTAATTCTTTCTTTCCTTTTTTTTTAAAAAAAAGGGATTTTAAAAGGTGCCATCCTCTGGAATAGTAGTGTAGGAGCTTTGTTACAGAAGAGAAAATGATATCAGATCTTGATGACATTAATAGTACAGGTGCTGTTCTGCAGGGTGGTACTTAAAAATCCAGTAAATGCCTAGAAAACCTTACTTTCTGTTAAAATAAAAAGTCCAAGCAATCAGTATTAATTCAGTCTTACCCAAGCGCTGCTGTTCTGCTTGGAGTTTTTCATTACGACTGGTGTGAGATTGAGGGCCCTTATTCACCACCAAAAATGACAATTTCTTTCTCCCCAGAAATCTGGCACCGCACTTCGCAGCCACCTGCTGCCAGCTAAAACGTACCAGTAGGGTTGTGGGTTCGGGTTTTGCTCCTGGTTGCAGTGGTGAGCAGGTGTCTGATTCATTTAGGCCCCGATCCTGCACTTTACACGTTAACACTACCTATTTGAGACGTCTTCCTGAGTTCAGCGGCGCTAACGGTGTGCGCTTTGGGAGAGTCCTCCGCGAGAGTGAAGATGGGGTAGATAAATCCATGGAGGCAGAGAACACACGAAGCAAAACCCAGTTTTCTTTGCGATTTGTCCTAAAGTTGCCTTCGTTTTGAGACTTCTTGAAGTTGTTTGTGTTCTCTCTCATGTGATGCTCAGTCTGGAAGGTGCATCTTCGTTGCCTCTCAGGAATGTCGCTGTGAACTTTTGGATGTGACAGGTGGGGTGTCGTTGCTTCTTCCTGGAAATGGAAGTGGCACGTTTAACCGAAAGGTCAGGAAGGCTTGAAAGAGCGGAGCAGTGACGCGTAGCTGCTTTTTAATGTGTAAAGTAATATCCATGACTTGTTTTGCTGCAATGCCTTTGTTCTTGAGGAAATCTTAAGTAATTTACAAAGTCTTCTCGCTAGTTCGATGCTATATCCTTACTGCAGGTGGATGAAGTGAAGACACTATGGGCACGTGATTTCCTAAGGCACTGAAAGAGAGTGGATGTCAGAGCCAGTCTCTGGCTCTTACTTGGAGAAAACGTCTCTATCTGGAGTGCCTTTCTTGCAATTATAGAATTTAACTGGTATTCATTAAACTTTCCTGAAAAATTAGCTCCTGAGTCATAGCTGAAGAGACTTCAAGACTTTGGGTGCTGTTAGAGACTTAGATGGCTTATAACTAGCAATAAAATTGTTACTGCAGAATGCCCGTGTTGCAAGGGAGAGTGCACATACTATTCTGGAGAAAAGCAGATACACATATTGAGGCAACAAAGTTCCCCATGGTTTCCCATCCAGGAGAATGGAAGCTGAAGTCAACCAGCCCAGCTCCCAATGACTTTGATAAAAATGGACGGATGCACTAACAGGAAAAGGAATTTTGCTCATAAGTGGAATTTCTTTGCATTTCAGGGCATCAGGAGGTCCCTCTGGACGAAGTGGACATCGAATGGTTGCCTGCAAAAGACAGCTGATTGTCTTCGGAGGTTTCCATGAGAGTGCAAGGTGGGTTACTGCAGGATGGCTGGTGGTATTGCATAAAAAAAAAAAAAAAAAAAAACAAACAGAATTTCACCAGTAACAGAAAGCTGGGCTTGAACGGAAGGATTATCCTCAGCAGTACTATTGCTGAACTAGACTTTTATGTTAGAAAGACAAGTGGTCTTGATTTGAAGTCTTCAAGTGTTTGAGAAACCATTGTACCATTTAGCTAATCACTGAAGTAGCTACTCATCCTTGTAGCTATAGCTCAATACGTCACTTTTGGCTTCTGAATCTTGTCAAAGAGCCTTGTCTTCCTAGAAGCATCTTCTCCAGTAGGCTCTCACATACTACTTGAGGTCACAGCTACACTGTCCTGGGGACTGCAAAGACAGCTGAGCTGCACGTTGTCTCAAAGACAGTAAGCAGCATAACCAAAGTCCCTGGGAGCATGGTGTAAGTTGCAAAGCCCGCTCTAGATTTGGCTGTGTCCTTGAGAGTTTAACTGGTGCAGAGCATTTTCCACTAACACTATGTGTGCTGGCTAGCAGGAGGAGAACAAGGCATCTGTGTGTTTTTTCTCACCCCCCTAGGCAGACATAGCTCTAATCTGTTTTGATCTTTTGTGTTCTGGTTTAAGTTACCTCAGACTGTGTTAACTGGAAGGAGTTGTTGAAACCTCTGTTGTAGTAAGGAATGACATAGGTAGAAAAGAACCCAGAGAGGTCTTGCTTAAAGGAGCTTTGTCAAATGCACGTTGTTGCACTGGAATAGTAACCTTCACCCAAACAAATCCTCTCTACATTGCCACGGCTACGGAAGGAGAAAATGAATGCAAGTAGTTGACTAAGGTGTTGCACCTCTTCAGAGGTTCCTGGTGCTGTTCCTGAAGTGATATTTTATCCTGTCCTAAATGGTGACTGTTACAAAAACCTGTGACGTGCCAATTTGCTCTCCTTAGAGATTACATCTATTACAACGATGTGTATGCCTTCAACCTGGACTCCTTCACCTGGAGCAAGCTGGCTCCATCAGGGATTGGGCCTGCTCCAAGATCTGGGTGTCAAATGGCTACCACTCCTGAGGGCAGCATAATCATCTATGGAGGCTACTCTAAACAGGTAGGAGAGATTTTTGTGGTAAGCCAGTGCAGTATTTCCTGGATTCTAAACTGAATAGGCAGTGGAAAAACTAAAGGGCTAAAATGAAAACTAAAACGTGACAAACTCAAGGTTGTCTAAGTGGGGCTGATGTGATGGGAAAAACTAAAGGGCTAAAATGAAAACTAAAATGTGACAAACTCAGGTTGCCTAAGTGAGGCTGATGTGATGATCTTGACCCCCGTTCGCTGTGGAGTCCTGTGTTTCGACTGCTTGGAGAGAGCAGTGGGTTCAGAGTTTGGGAGAGCAAAATTGAGATCTCTCTACTGCTACTTCCCTCTGCTCAATTTTGCAAGCCTTGTCTCCTGTGCAAGATTTGATGATCTCATCACATAACTGCTCACTGCTCTGGCTGATGATCTTTCTGCATGTCAGGCAGCTGCCAGATGTCCAAAAGACACTGGTAACCAGGGTGCATTTTAGCCTGTGGTTATGGAGTAGATGTGCAGTTGTGCCCTTGGATTGTTCGTACACAGCGTGGTACAGGCTGCTGTGAAGCAGTACTGCTACCAAAAGAGGCATCTTGTTTTCTAATTGTGCCTTTTTTCATGCAGTTGTGTGCTGATCGAGGAGCTTGTCTTGGTTAAAATGAATTTTGTGTCTTCTCTGCTAATCTAATCCAATATAAGGAGGTGATACCACAGAGGCAGGAATAAGCAACTGGAAGAAATGATGGTTTTGGGGAGCAGTGTGGTCACTGCCAGCTTAAGGCATTCTTGGGCAGTACTCGTCCGTGTTCCAGGACTTGCAGGTTAAAAGCAGCAGCTGCCAGGAGACTTGTATTTTTTTGCATCAGTGAAAGGGTTAAGGGAACAGCACTAGTTAACAAACTCAATAAGCCAAAGAAGACTTTTTGATGAGCACCAGGCTTCCTCTGCTCTGCTTCTTGCTTTGTTAATCATGGTAATTTATACTGGGTAGCCCTTTAGACCATATGTCCTCATTGACCAAGTATCCCTGTCTCCGTGCTGGGCGGGTGGAAGTAAATATTTCATTGAGCAAAAGGCTCCTGCAAAAGCTTTTAATGTTGCAAATGCAGACAGAAGACCCGGATCCTGCTGCCGCTGTCTCGGTGGAAAGGCATCGCTTCCAGCAGTGCGTCGCTGGGGGAGGAGGACGCGTTGTTCTTCTGATGTGAATAAATGAACAGAGAAGAAAAGCAAGAAAAGGGGAGAGAAGATAGTCTGTCTGTATATTTAGAAGCGTTTGTCCTCCTCACAGCCTGCTCTTAGGCTCTATCTCATCAGATGTGTGATTGATTAAATGGCAGTAACAATACACAGAGGCATTTTCTACCCAAAAGGGCTTTGTCCTCTTCCTTTCTCTGTCCTGCTTCCTCACTCTTAAAGATGGGACGGAAGCACAAGCCTGCGTGCTGTGCTGGATGTGGATCTCCCATGGCTACTGAAAGCACACTGAGCCCCATGGAAACATCAAAGTTGACACGTTTGCAGTTGGTTCTGTTCCACTTTACGAGGGTGGGCCCCGTCGCACTGCTCTGTTTTGAGCTAATAAAGATGAAGTAGAAGGGATGGGGGAATGCAAAGCTGCCCTGAGCCGTAAGGCAGGGCACTGAGCAAGGATGAGAGCTGGGTGCAGTTCCTCTCCAGCTTGGAGAACAGCTTTTAGATTGAAACAACCACTCCTCTTGGGAATCTTCCTTTGTAATACAGAGAGCTAAGTCTGCTGCCGTCTGATGTGCCGTTCCTGTCGGAGATTTTCCTTGTGTATTTTGTAGCACAAGTGGACTTTCAGGCAGGAATGGTGCAGCCAAGCTACAAACTGGCCAAAGCACTGGACACAATTTTCTCTGCAGCTTTCTTGACGTGCAAAGGCAACGAACCTTTAGAATGCTTCTGAAAATTTAGTTCAGCAAGATTTAGCCCTTCTAGGAGAAACACAACTTCATTCATGTGTGGCTGTTTAATTCTCGTTGTGTCTTTGCTTGTAGCCAATTGTGGAGCTGAGTCTCTCTGGGTTTACTCTGAAGTGAAGAAGGTGTGTTTGGCTTGTGTACTCCCCCCAGAGTCATTGGCTGGGGTACTCTTGGGAGAAGTAAGAGGTAGATGGTGGAGGAAACGATACTTAATTGGAGCTGGGCAGGCACAGGAGAGGACATATTCTTTGTCTCCAATTAGAGGCAGATTCAGGAGTGCCGTGAAGACATTTTGGGGCACGTGAAGACACTTTTGTGTATGAAACCAGACAGGTGGCCGAGCAAAGCGCCACTCACCAAGTCATGTAGAGACTGCTATGAAGACATTTTGGGGCACATGAAGACATTTTTGCATATGAAACCAGACAGGTGGCCAAGCAAAGTGCCATTTACCAAGTCATGTAGAGACTTCTCTTCTAGTAAGAGGCAGGACTAAGTTGCACATACAATCTTTTAGGTTGGAAGAGACCTTGAAGATCATCAAGTCCAACCACGTGTTGTAAAAAAGATGCGGATTTGCGTGAAGGTCTCCTGAGGCCAGAGCTACTACCAGGCATGTATGTGATGTGAACTGGTTTGGAGGGAAGAGGAGTGGAAGTCATAACAGCTTCTCTGTTTTCGTATCAGCATGATATAGCTGTCACATTGCGGGAGGAAAGTAGTGATGTAGCAAGGCTGCTTTCTTCCGATGGGCCGTTCCGATGCGTTATATCCCACGGTCCCCTTAGCCCTTGTAAATCTGCTTTGAAGAACTGCACCAAAATAGCTGTGCAGCGTGGTATAATGCACGTTGCCTGGGGCAAAAAGAGATGTAAGCCCAGGAGATTCATGGTTATGGGCAGAATTGTGGGCATCTTTGTACCCAGCTGGCTGTTGGGGTTCTATAAAGCCTGAGAAACACTATCAGTTCCCCTGGTGGAGTGATCAATCTGTCCGTCCTCAGTGTGGTCAGCAGGTGTGGTGAGCTGAGAAGGCAGAAGCAGAGATGGTTTGGTCCCTGCTTTGATTTGCTGGACTTGCATGCAGAACTGGGCACAGAGGGTCAGTTTTCAGTAATGTGTCTCAGTCCAGACCACGCTGCTGAATTCCCTTCCTGTGACCTGAATAAAAAAGTCTCTTTCATGGCTGGGGAACTAGAGATAGGAAAGATCAAGTGACTTGTCTGAGGCACTCCAGTACTTGTATGCAGAGCCATACAAGTACTGGAGTACCTTGGTACCTAGATGTGCCTTTGCATGTGCCACCAGCTAGATTGTGCTGACCAAGTGGTAAACAACCAGGATGCAGATGGTGAAAAAGGAGCTTTACAACCCTGAGTGCAGCTAACTTGAGACGATGCATGATTCATAGCACAATGCTGTCCCTGTGTTCACCTCTTTCATCTTCAGCGTAGAAATGATAAAGGCAACTTATACAATCCCTTACAGAAGGGGATGTTGAAGCACTGGCC